AAAAAAAAATGATAATGGCGCTGAAGAAGAAGAAAAAGTTGATGATGATGATGATGATGATGACGGTGATGATGATGATGACAAGAGGAAATGAAAGAAGTAGAATCAATGGGCGCAGAAAAAGAAAAATGAAGGAGGAAATAGGAGAAAGAGGGGGAGGCTAGTCCCTTTTGTACAAAAAGAAAATAATGTTGATAAAGGTCAACAAAAAGAAAGAAAGAAAGAAAAAGAAAGAAAGAAGGGCAAAACAACCGATGAAAAGAAAGAAAAGAAAAAAGATGATAAAAAAAAGGTTCAGTACAAGCATATACGTATGTAATATTTTACAAGATTTTTTTTATATGGATTCGATAACGCATTAATGCAGAAAAAATTAATCGATAACTGATCATTTCCTGAGCGAGCTTGTAAGTCATCAGAAAGTTAAATACAAAATTTATGAATCAAGCTAGATATTCGTCTTTTCAAACACTTTTCCGGGTCATTGTAAACGAAGAATATTTTTCTATATTACCTCCGTTGCATTTTTTAGAAGAATCTTATCTATTGCTGTATCGAAAATTAAACACCCATTGATTTGGACGCAGAACAATTGGCGTAGACAGGCTAAGGAAGTTGAATATGAATCAGTAAAGGAGAAAAAAGAACAATAAATTGTAGTAGTATTAGTAGTAGCAATGAAAAAAAAGATTAAAACGTATTAACAATGACAAAGAATTCTTTGCCTTAGATATTTATAAGAAAATATTGGAGAAAATAGACATAAATCGTTAGAAAGAAAACGTTCGAAATTGCTCAGCCATATTTGGCAGTAAATGGCGAGCAATCACTTTACAGATAAAGAAGAGACTTGAAACTATAGAGATGTGCTTCTCATGACGGATGCACATTTTGAGCAACGGGGAAACATTCAAGAAAATAGGAAGCACAATACTTTGAATCAGAAAAAGACAGTGGAAATTTCCGAGACACGTAATGTGAAAAGAGTGCTTGGAGAAACTAACACTCACAGGTCATCTTAAGACAAAAGGAAACATCGATTAATATACTTAATAAAACTTGTATGAATGAATAATAGAGAGAAAAAAAACAAAGGGATGACAAGTTAGCCAAACAACAGCCTGTAGTGGCCAGGGAACCTAAGATCCATTTTCACAAGGAAAATGAACGCGCTGTGCGAAAGACCCAAATGACTCCCAATATGACACTACTGAGTGGAGGCTGAGATTGGAGGGTGTTAGTTGATATATATATATATATATATATATATATATATATATATATATATATATATATATATATATATGGAACATATTTTCATTCAAACAGGTTTGGTTAAATAATTTAGACATCATGATTTTGATATTTTCCTTAGTCAATTTTCTAAAAATTAATCCGGGAACTTGAAATGATCACAACCAAAATAACTCGATATCATATGTTAAAATTTAACCAAACCTGTATATATATATATATATATATATATATATATATATATATATATATATATATATATATAATGAATAATCATAGAAAATTTCTTTTTACCTCGTGTAGGAATAGGCTGTAGTTGGCATGTTAAATTTTAGGTGGCCCCTTCCCATATTTCTTCTTTACAGTTAACTTTTAACACCCCCCCCATTTCCTCTCGCTCTACGGACGTGAATTCCATTCAATATCGGGGTTGAAAAGATAGACGACCCCTTGTATCGTCTACAAGCCTATTCCCCACATGAGGTAAAAAGAAATTTTCTATGATTATTCATTATATTTTTTCTATACAAGTAAAATACATCGAGCTATTTTTTGAGGATCAGTTTTAATATTTTTTTTATTACTAGGACCCACTTGGATTAGACACCCACGGGATTCATTTTACCTTTACTATATATATATATATATATATATATATATATATATATATATATATATATATATATTAAATGCATTTGGGCATCGGCTTCATTGGCAACCCTATAATACATCTCCTGAATCAGTTCTTTATTTCGCTACTCTCATATATTTAATTTATTATTCTGGTAATCTTACGGATTCCAAATTCGTCTGAGGTTGATAGCATTTTTATTGCATTCCCAGCTGGCATTACGGCTTTGTTCTTCTTCATCTGAACAAGTGCTTATCTTACGTCAGATTCTAATACTACCTAGCTTTTCGATGTTCGTATGTTCCTCATCTGTTGTCATGGGATAGCTTTCCTATTTAGTCGTTCCATCTTATAAATATCTTTATCTATTTTGAGCGTCGCTTTTTTAGACTTTATGTCCTCCTGTCGAAGAGCACGTTCTCTTTCCCGCGATTTCTTTTCATTTTTATACCTTCCTCTTATATCGATATTCCGATATTATGCAACATTAAAAGTTACTGGGGTTGAGTTTCGGACAAGGCAATCCTTCTGAGGTTATTTAATGACGAATGTTGCGAATGCCACCCAGTGTGGATCAAACACGCTACGCAGTACTAATAAAGGAGCTTGGTTCATTTTGCGACATAGATAGATTGGTTCATTTTGCGGCATGGTAACCCTTTGGTTATTTAATGACGAATGCTGCGAATGCCACCCAGTGTGGATCAAACACACTACTCAATACTAATAAGGGACTTGGTTCATTTTGCGACAGGGTAACCCTTTGGTTAGTTAATGTCGAATTTGGTATGTGCCACCAAGTGCGTATCAAACACACTACCCAGTAGAAATAGGTAGGTTGGTTAATTTTGTGATATGGTAACCATCGGTTAGTTAATGTCGAACTTTGTATAGGCCAACAAGTGAGGATCACACTAGTCAGTAGTAATAGGTAGGTTGGTTGATTTTACAACCTCATAACTCTTGTCGGGTTATTTAATGTCGAATTTTGCACGGGGCACTTAATTTTCTGCATGACGCGCTTCTGCTCCCCCAGCTCTTTTATATCTGACATCATTTTTCCAGCTACTAATATTGACAGGTTATTAGCGGAACGACTCAATCTCTATTACCATTCTATAAGCATCTGTTTCAAATGATGTCGTGAGGATCGCTTCGAAAAGTGTACCTCTTATGTTAAGAGGTACACTTTTCGAAGCGATCCCCGTACAATATAGTGAGATATTGAAGACTTAAATAGTTAAATATCATTACTAGGATCTCACGCTGTCTGCAGTAGCTTGAAAGTTTATGTCGGAAACCATTATTACTGTTGTGAGTTCGATCCTCATTGGGGGTCACATAAAATACTGCTAAACGTAACAATTAAAACCTGTGGAACAGTATTTAGTAAGTTAGTCTAGGAGACCGTTATTATTGCTGTTAGTTAAACCTCACTGGGGATCAAATAACTGTGGACTTGCATCGTACTAATAAAATCCCATTAAATACTCGCCTCACCATGGAAGAGGTCATCGATGGCTATCGTTCATGTCGAGTCGTCTCTTCAGTTCTTCAGGCACCAACTCTAACCCATAGGACTTACGACCAAATCACGTTGGAACACCGCTTCCTGTACGATCACCGAAGTTAAACAAAGGTCAGTACCTAATCGACCTTTCTCCCCAGATATGGGTTAATTAGTAAGACTTGTATCACTAAATCATTATTATCTTCTAAAAAAATCTTCTTAAAACCTAAAAATATTTTCTGGCTGAGTTCAAATTTCATTTGGGTTATTTACATTTACTTACGTGCAAATACCATTAAGAAAGGTATGGATCGACCTTTCTCCCCAGATATGGGTTAATTAGTAAGACTTGTATCACTAAATCATTATTAGCTTTTAAAAAAATCTTCTTAAAACCTAAAAATATTTTCTGGCTGAGTTCAAATTTCATTTGGGTTATTTAAATTTACTTACGTGCAAATACCATTAGGAAAGGTATGGATCGACCTTTCTCCCCCAGATATGGGTTAATTAGTAAGACTTGTATCACTAAATCATTATTATCGTAAAAAAAAAAAGTTTAAAAACTAAAAAATATTCTCTAGCTGTTAACAACCATCAAAGGGTTGATAAGCCGTAAAAATTAATGAATTCATCAAACAACAAAAAAGCTAGATAATAGTCTGCATCAACAGCGAACAAATTCCGTTTCGCATCTCGCTTTATTATATGAGGGATAGTCGCTTTGGGATCGTTTCCAGGAGGAGGCGAGAGGGAGATGATCCGGAAAGCTCATGCCGGTCCTTAACTAAGATATGGCCACCTGCTGGATTTTTTCCCTAAAGAATCTGCTTGCAGATATTATGTTTGACTTTTTAAATTCTGACAGTGGTGTCTTCACGCTTTTTTTTTTTTTTTTTTCTGATATCAAAAACTCAAACAAAGGTTATCCATGACTGCCAGAATTCTACACCCACGGGAGCAATAATTCACCAACCTGGAGCAGCCTATGTATTTTGTAACACTTCCTCAGGTTGTAATCTTGAGCCGAACTCAGCGCACCTTAGTAAATACCATTAAAAACATGATTCTCTTCTAGGCCTTCCAAATGTCTTTACGGAGATATCATTACGAAAGCAATTAGGTGTTGCCCGCAGTTGCAAAGCCGGATGCACTTTCAGCGTCTCTCATGACAAAGACGAAGATCAACAACTAATAGCCATTCGTTGGCGCCATTTACACTGATAGTAATTAAGAAGTCAATGGTCGTGTTGGAAGTCTTTGGTATCTCAATTAAAATAAGAAAGTGAAGATTGATTATAGGCAAACGGTACACGACATAAAACTTTAATCAAGCAAGCGGGATACAAGAACTATACTTTTTTATATTACGTATTTATCACGCATCGCAGAATCATATATAGAAACAGATTACGGAAGAAAGAAAGAATGAAAGAAAGAAAAACACAATATGTAGATTAATATATGTTAAATATGACAGACAGACAGAAAGAAAGAAAGGAAGAAAGAATGAAGCAGGAAAGAAAGAAAGAAAGAAAGAAAGAAAGAAAGAAAGAAAGAAAGAAAGAAAGAAAGAAAAAATAAAGTAAGAAAGAAAGAAAAAGGTTAGAAACTCCAAAAAATGATAGATAGATAGATAGATAGATAGATAGATAGATAGATAGATAGATAGATAGATAGATAGAAAAAGTCAGAGATTTCAAGAAATGATAGATAGATCGATAGTAAGACAGAAAGTAAGACAGAAAGAAAGAAAAAAAAGAAAGAAAGAAAGAAAGAAAGAAAAATAAAGGAAGAAAGAAAGAAAAAGGTTAGAAACTCCAAAAAATGATAGATAGATAGATAGATAGATAGATAGATAGATAGATAGATAGATAGATAGAAAAAGTCAGTGACTTCAAGAAATGATAAATAGATCGATAGTAAGACATAAAGTAAGAAAGAAAGAAAGAAAGAAAAATAAAGTAAGAAAGAAAGAAAAAGGTTAGAAACTCCAAAAAATGATAGATAGATAGATAGATAGATAGATAGATAGATAGATAGATAGATAGATAGATAGATAGATAGAAAAAGTCAGAGATTTCAAGAAATGATAGACAGATCGATAATAAGACAGAAAGAAAGAAAGAAAAAGAAAGAAAGAAAGAAAAATAAAGTAAGAAAAAGAAAAAAAAAGGTTAGAAACTCCAAAAAAATGATAGATAGATAGATAGATAGATAGATAGATAGATAGATAGATAGATAGATAGATAGATAAAAAAGTCAGAGATTTCAAGAAATGATAGATAGATCGATAATAAGACAGAAAGTAAGACAGAAAGAAAGAAAGAAAGAAAGAAAAATAAAGGAAGAAAGAAAGAAAAAGGTTAGAAACTCTAAAAAGTGATAGATAGATAGATAGATAGATAGATAGATAGATAGATAGATAGATAGATGTCAAGCAATCTTCTAAAACCTAAGACATGAGACATGAAGATTGTGTTTTCATTACGTCTATTTTTGTGGATATTTACATATCTTTTCAGCTCACACATACATTTCTGTTTCTAGATTTAAAATGATAGATTCATTAAACTGCAATAGAAAGAAAGAAAGAAAGAAATGTCATTGAATCTAAGAGATTAAAACCGTCGGACAAGCCATTTAAATGTTATGTAAAGTATTTTGAATTTTTATATTGTAAACTCTTCGAAATATCGAGTATAGTACGATTTTTTATGATCAATTTTCTGCACAGTAGGGGGTCGTACTATACATAGGTAATTTTTGAAGAGGTTAATGGGGAGGGGTCAAAATTCATACAAGAATTCCTACTTTGTATGAAGTCAGCTTATACACAAGTATATACGGTAAAAGGAGGCACGGTGGAGTAATGGATAGCGGCACGGTACTGAGGAATCGGAGAGCCGTGTTCGAATTCCAGGCAAATACATTACATTCACTTACGTGTTAATACACTTGTGAAAGGTATGAATCTTCTTCTAAACCTGGTTCTATAGCTTTGGATGGCAACTGATCTACCATGGCAACTGGTCTACCGCAGAAAGAAAAGACAACCTACAGTGGGGAAAAAAATCGGCCTCGTCAGTTATATATCGAAAGATACATGATCGTCTAAACGTGTATTACGCATGGCACATAACTGGCTGATATACGGCAAGAGTTGTGTAATGCTTTGATAAAGAAATATGTCAGGCCCGAGAGCCACTCGAGGTAGAGGGTTACAGAGTAAGAAGCACACTTTATGTGGATAGGTAAGGAAGATAACGGTTGACCCTAGAATCGAACAGGTTAAGATTGTAGTGATACCGAAATATATAGAGTAAGGTGAAATTTTTTTTTTTTTTTTTCTTCTTCATATGTATGTCTGCTTAACTTCGGAGATCCTCCGCGGGTGTTTTAAACTTGAAGAAACTAAATCACCACTCACACGTACGCACACTCACGCACACTATCACATACAGAGTTGAGAGAGGAGATGGAGGAAGAGGAGGACGAGGAAAAAGAGAGATGTATTCAAGAACTCCAAATACACTTCTTTCATTTGCCGATTCCCTTCAGCATGTGGGCGATCATGGTTCTCCATTATTTCCTCTCTCTTGTTTCTCTAAGCAACGACTGACTGTTTGCCATCTCACTTTGTTTGCTCACTACCATCCCTTCACACAAATTAATTAAGTAGATGATTCGATATTCCGTCTGTATCCCTCTTACCTTTATTATGTCCAGTGAGAGTTCAATTTTCCAAGCCGTCTTTCCTCATAATGTGTTCCAGAAATTTCAACTGTCTCTTTCGTAATCTATATAATAAATACGAATGCCAATGTGTCACCGTGTCACGTTTTTTTCACTTAAAGGGACACAACGCACTAACTTTCAATAGCTCATGTTACAGAAACTTTGGATTCCCAAGCTTTCATAATTGCGATTATTACCGACGATTTTTTTACGTGATTTTTGGGACGATTTTTTAATTTATTTTTTTTTATTTATTTATTTTTTTTTTTTTTTGTACGATTACAGTTTTTATTACTTGGGAATAAATTTGGGATTAATCGAAATTAATTGCGAAATCCAGTGAAAGTCACTCATGAAATGAAAATAATTGTTTGTATAGAAAGTAAGGACCTACACACATCAAACTGTCTTTAAATTAAGTGGCAGCAGGAGAATTATCGTTAAACTTTTAAAAGGTAAGCTTCAACATTAATGCGATATTAAAATTCGGCGATCAATTTTGAGTTCTGTAGTTTATTGTTACCTATCACATAACACGCATACAGCATCGTAAAAAGAAATCTCCGCCCACGGAGGACCAAAAGAGCCAAGGCTGCAGTGTAGTAAAGAATGTGCCGTGCAAATGTAAACCCAGATTAAACGGCAGCCAGAAGAGCTTCTAATGCTGAGAATATTCAAAGACTTAGGGACTCTCAAACTCCTGAACAGGCCAAAGGTTTAATCAAGTGCCCTCAACAGGAGCTAGCATAAATGTTGCCTCATAGGGCTGCTTTTAAACTAGTTTAATTATGTCGCGCTCTAGTTCTCATTTTACTTTAGAATTTCCTTGTTGTATCTTTTTCCGGGATATTCTTAGCAATCATCTTTAGAAACAAGTCTCTGATGTTTCGGGTCTCTTCTTTATTTGTCAACACCCACTGCCATATAGGGGGATAGATCTGACTCATAGCAGTTAAACATCCTGTTCGTTTCTTCCTGTCATCTGTTCGTGCTAATACTTTATCGAATGTACACATACTACAGTATCTTGTTTATAGATCCGTACAAACTACTTATCAAAAGTTAGCTGTTAGTATGGTTGTAAGCAAAAGGAAGAGCCCAACGCGCGAACTACAATTTAGCGCCTCCAGAATCAAGCAATTACAAATATTTAAATATCCGGGAAGAGTTTTAACAGAGGAAGGGAAAGGGCGGCACCAAAATCCGAAGACGTATAGCGAAAGATGCTTTCCAAAAGCTAAGCAAAGTATTAAGAAACAGAACAATTTCGTTAGAAAAGAATACTGAAATATTATGTAATAGCGATCCTCCAATATAGCAGTGAATGCGGGACCATCTCATCAAAGATGAAGAAGAGGTAACAGAAATGTGGTTCTACAGAAGGATGCTGAGAATACTATGAACGGAACATGTTCGAGGAACGAGGAAGTTTTAGGTATTATGCAAAGAAAAAGTTGAAATTTGTAGAGCACATAATAAGGAAAGAGGGCTTAGAAAATTTGACATTCACAAGACATTTTGAAAGCAAGAGAGACAGAAAAAGCAGCGAGTAACCTACCTAACAATCTTGTGCAATTGGTTAGCGGGACAGGGACTAGGAGATATAGCAAAAAGAAAAATCTTAATAAGAACTACCATAGAAAGGAAGCTGTGGAGAGCCATGATCACTTATATACTGAAAGTAAACGCCACGTAGAATAAGGAGAGGTCCATGTTTTGATAAAGTGAATGTAAATAGATTTTTAAAAAAACTGACACATAATGAGGAAAAGGGGCTTCGAGAATTTGACACTCACATAACATATAGAAGGTAAAACGGAAAAGGAAAGCAGTCAGTAACCTACCTAACGTGCTTGTGTAATTTGTTGGCAGAACAGGGATTAGGAGAGATAGCAAACAGAGAAAGAGCCACAAAGGACAGGAAATGGTGGAGTGATATGAACCATGATCACCCACGTCCTGAATGGACACGATATATAGTATAAGAAGAATTGGGAACCATATATACTCGGGTATCATGCTAGTTTTAAAGATCTAATTTTGAAGCTAATTTTAAGAGGGTCACATCATACACGAGATTATTCACTGCTGGACCTGGCAATGCCGTTGACCAAACTATTCATTTACTGTCGTCAAATTAGCTTCAAAATTAGGTCTTCGTATATCGCATGATACGCGAGCATATAAGGTGATACCAATTTTATTAAATAAGAGTAAATCTATTTTCTTTCATTCTCCACTGTTGTCGTGTTCTTCCTTTCATTTCTATCTTGAATTATTCTATACTCGTCTTTCCTCGTATTATTTAATCGAAAATGTTACTTTTTTGTTCAATTTTCTTTACGCTTTCTTTGTTTTTCCTTTGTTTATCTACCTTTCTTTATTTTTAATATACACGTGCGTCCAATATTAGAGAACGAAATTTTACCCCCCCCCAAATTATCCACTTCAACCAATCTGATTGTAATATTGTTTTTAAATACTAAAAATTCACCTAATGCAATGTTCGAGAGTCCCTCAATGTAGAGTGTTACTCGTAAGATGGTTATTATTAATAAGGTTTGTGAAATAAATGAAAGAAAAGATACTGAGCTGGCTAGATGCAACCGTAAACTCGATGCTAACAGTTTCTTTTCTTGCACTTCCCGCTTGTAGAACTCCCTTCCGGTTCAATGCTTTCCAGCCAACTTTAATCTGCTAAAGTTTAAATGCCGTGTCAATCGCTATCTACTGTCCTCCTGATTACTCATTCCTCTTCCCGCTCATTATTAATGTTTCTGTTCCTAATTCTTCTACAGCCCTTTGTGTCTTTACTGCTCTGCACGGGGTAATACCGATTTTAAAATATTAGAAAGAGAATGTCATGAAGATAAGTAAGTTAGTTAACGATTGACCCTTGTCCTGAAGAGGTTAATCTTGTAAAAATCAGGGAAGCACCCAAGTGGGAGTCTGTTCCACAAAGTAGCATTTTTCTGAGAAGAACAGAGATTTAGTTCTACAGATGGATGATGAGAATACCATACACTGAGCATGTGAGCAACTAGGAAGTTTTGAGAATAATTGAAACAAAGAGAGTAATTATACATAAAATCAGAAAACGACTGTTGAAATCTCTGGGACACATGAGAAAAGTAGATCTGGAAAATTTAACATTCACAGGACATATTGAAGGCAAGATGGACAGAGAAAAATAACAGGAAACCTATCTAAGAAACTTATATACATGTTTAGTAGAACAGGAAGTCTGAGGGATAGTAAAACAACAAAAAATGAAAATAGCTACTAAGGATAGGGAGTTGGGGAGAGACATGCTCTCCAAAGTCTTGAACGTACATAGTACATAGAAAAAGAGTATCACACTAAAGGTTTAATATTAGAACTCATTAAAATGGTAATGTTAAACCAGACGAACGTGCCAACTCTTGCTCTACAACCACTTTTTTCTTTTTATTTCATCTCTGCATCCTTTTCTTTTCTTCTGCTTCCTCTGAATTGCTTAATGTTTTTCTTTTCTGTCTTTAGCCATTAATCATACTCACTCTCTTTAGTTTTACTTTTCTCTTCTTTTTAATTTTTTTACATGTTTATTTCCTACTTTCACTTTCACTTTTCATATACATCCATCACCTTTTTTAAATATGCTCTTTTCTTCAATTCTTCTTTCTTGTTTATTTTTCTACTTCTTCATTATTACTTTTCATTCTATTTCCTCTCGAAATTGACTACCCTTTCTGTTTTTCTTATTTTTATTTATAGATTTATTGTGTTCTTCTTGCCTTCATTTTCTCATTCCTTCACTTTTTCACTTGTCAAGTTTTCTTGCTTTCTCTTTTCTTCAGCTTTCTTCTTTTCGTTCTTGTTCTTTGCTTCATTGTTTTCCAATTTCTCTTTTATTTACTTTTCATATTCTCTATTCTTCTCTTTCTTTCATTTTTTCTTTTCTTTTTCCGTTTCTTTCCTTCATTTTTAGTATTCTCTTTTCTTCGTTTAGCAAGTTCTTTTTCTTTCTTTTTCCTTCAGTTTCCATATTTTCTTTCTTTCTCTTTACTTCATTTTTCAAATTCTCTTTTCTTCATTTTTCAGCTTCTCTTTCCTTTTCTTTCCTTCATTATTTATATTCCCTTTTCTTCACATCAACTTTTCTTTCTTTCTTTTTACATCAGTTTCCATATTTTCTTTTATTCTCTTTTCTTCGTTTCTCAGATTTTTTTTTATCTTTCCTTCATTTTTACTTTTCTTTTTCTTCTTTTTCTTTCATATTTGATATCATCTTTCCTTTCTTTTTCCTCAGCTATCAAGTTTCCTTTCTTTCTCTTTCCTTCAGTTTCCATGTTTACTGTTATTTTTTTCTTCTAATACTCATTTCTTTATTTATCGTATTCTCTTTCCTTCATTTTACAAATCCACTTTCCTTCATTTGAAAATTTCTTTTCTTTATATTTCCTTCATTCTTTCCCTTCACAAAATATCCTTATATGCTTCTTTTTCCACACTCTTTTTTTTATTTCAATTTCCTTTTTAATTTCTTTTATTGTTGCCTCTTTCACCATTTTCATTCTTTCCTTCTTTCTTTTTATTTCTTCTTCTACCTCACACTGCTTATTTTTTTTTATTATTCATTCAATGGATTATTACTTCACTTATTTTCTCCTTTTCTTTCTCTTCTTTTTTCTGTCTTCTCTTCGAAAATTCTTCCTTCGCAAATTTTTATATTCAATTTCAGATATTATGTTTCTTCCTTTCGGTCTTTCCTGAATCTTTTCCTCTTTTTTTAAAAAAAAAAATCTATTTTTTATGTAATATAATTTCTTTGCTATTTTCTTTCTTTCTTTTCTCAATATAATTTAAGTTTTATTTTCTTTCTTTTTCTCTTTCTTTTTTTATTCTCGTTTTCTCTGCTGCTGCTTTTTTTTTAACTATATTCCAACCGCTTTAATTTTTAGTTTTTTTATAACTACTATAAATAGAAAGGAATTAATGATTTTCTCCGTACATATTCACGCTCTATAAATAAAATAAAAACCGTGAATGGGGAAAATAACCTCGAAAGTATCCATCTTAGCCTTAGGCAATGAATTACCAGCGAAACAAACAAAACGTTACTTAAAAATAGATGATCTTTCGCCGGAATCGTTATCCGTTTTCAAATCTTTTCATAGAAATTTGATCTTTTTTTTATCTCTCAGTCAATTTCTCAGTATTTATCGCCAGTGGTAAGACACTGAACCTAAACTTACGCAATTTCGAATACTATTTTTTACAGGCAGGGTTGAAATCAGAGATATTTAAGTCTCAGAGGATTGTACCTTATCAGAAGATATCGATGGGGGAAGAGTTGCTTATCAATTTTAAATCCATCAGGTTCTATTTCTTGTCTTATCGATGGGGATATATATATATATATATTATATATATATATATATTTAAATAAGTTTTTAATAAAATTCTTGTTATAATTTATATATATATATATATATATATATATATATATATATTATATATATATATATTCAAATAAGTTTTTTATGGTACAAAATTTAATGATAGCTAGGAATAAGCAAAATTTATATGGCATTTTGAAAAAGCGTGTAAATTTAAGCTAAAGTCCAATGTGCCTCCCCTCTGTGAACAAAGGGAATGCTTACTGGGTCTGAATATTATTGGACTGTAGCTTTTATTCTATATTATTCTCTTTCCCTTCGTTATCATTAATATTAATTAAATTTACACGCTTTTTATATCTCAGAAATAAACTTGATAAGCCTAGAACGAAACTAGTTGTTTTTTAACTTTTTAAAATGCCATATAAATTTTGCTTATTCCTAGTTATCAATATATATATATATATATATATATATATATATATATATATATATATATATATATATATATATATATATATATAGACTCTCCTGTCGTATTCAAGTAGCTCAGTTTCTAGGAAACAACAGCCAGACACCAGCACATATGATTATAATGGTTCAGGCTTTGTGCAGAACTATATACACTTTTTGAAGGGCTGAATACAGAGACCTGGTGCACTACGTGCCACAAGTTCCCCAAATGACCCTTCGCAGTTTTTGAATTCAGAGTTGTCCTTGTCCCAGATCAATTGCTATCCAAGGCTTTAGAACCCAGGCTGTCCTGCTATTTACCCTTAGCTGGAGGGAGAATAGGAGGATTAATACCTTTCCCAAGGGTATTTGCACGTAAGTGAATGTATATCTATCTATCTATCTATCTATCTATCTATATATATATATATATATATATATATATATATATATATGAAAGTGATCATTGAAGTCAACACTCAGATGCGACAGACTGGTTCATGCTTGACGCAATGGTTTAGCATGAAACCGTGGTGGCCTGACGATTGCGTCCAGCATGAAACAGCCTGTCGCCTCTGAGTGTTGACTTCAATATTCAATTTTATATTTATATTTACATACGCTCTATCTCTGATATTGAGTACTTTATTTCATAAATATAGCACACCTTAAAACTATATTTCTTCATATATATATATATATATATATATATATGTATATAAATAAAAAGAAAGAACAGTAAGATATAAAATCCGGTGTTCTTATAGATTTTTATTTTACAAAATAGTGCTCAATGTAAATTTACAGAGCATTAATATTATAAATTAAATATATGGTTATTTTCGCTACACAGTTCCAACCATTCGCTTGAAGATGAAATAGAACTAATGCTTTTAATTTATTTGCAAAAAATAAAATTAGGGTTTTATTTTTGAAACATTTGGAACTGTGTAGCGAAATAACCATATATTAAATTAATTATATATATATATATATATATATATATATATATATATATATTTTTGCTGTCATAAATAATTTAATAAAAAACGCTACGTTAATCTCTTCATCTAAAACAATTTTAATTATAAATTAAATAGCGTAACGGCTTCCCAATTTAGATTACACTAACACAAAAACGACTTTAATATAAACACATTCTGTATTCCTTTAGATCGTCTCGGTACGGTCTAGAGCGAGGCGGGGGAGTAAGTAGTCTAAATTCTGAAAGACAGGAATCTCCCATCCTCTATCTTAAAAACAACTGTCTAACCAACATAAGTATTGACCAATATTAACGATAAAAAACAAATGAAAACTACAGGCAAAATTCACTTTCTTCAGAGACAGTCATTCACTCCTGTAGTTCACTGCTACTAACAAGCTGGGATTTTTTTTCTACTGATGATGGCCATGCTAGGCCGAAACTAGTCGACGAACCTAATTGAAATAATAAAACAAAAAAAATATTTATATACAACCCAGTGTGTCTGAAATTTTTGATTTTTAATTTTTCAATATTTTTTATTGTTCAAAATATTTATATATATATATATATATATATGTGTGTGTGTGTGTGTGTGTGTGTGCAATCCTTCTTTCATGCATATTTCATTGAATACGAAAGACAAGATGCTTTGATTTAGTTTTTTTTATACAATTTCTCATGTGATCTAATTTTTTTTTCTTTTCAGATGATAAATTATATAAAAACTGTCCGAATGTTCTTTTAAACCGAGCGCTTTCGGCTATACATTTAGCAATTTTCTAGAATAAAATATTTTAGCTGTTAAATATATATATATATATATATATATATATATATATATATATATATATATATATATATATATATATATTCCATCGCCCAGGTCTGCTCCCTGGAAAGGTTACTCAATTCTGACCCACAAAGGACTGAATTTTAAACAAACACGACGCTATCTTTATCGCTCGAGATGAACGGGTGCCTACTTACCAATATATTTTACAGAAAATGAATACACCATGTAACAAAATGTATGACATTGCAATAAAAAATGAGAGTACATCAATATTACATACGTAGATATAATTTGCATTTAATATTTAGCATGTATTATCAAAATAAAATTTAAAGCCAGTAACCGAATCAATAAAAAATATTTTTCAACCCACCAACCTCCTACATAAGACTAATGCTGTCTATGTATTTATTTGTCCAGCAGCAGATTTCGTCTATGTAAATAATAAAGGAAAATAGGCCTTATATAGGTTACACAACAACCACTCATTCACGCAGGCTCACATGTCATTTAAATGAGCAATGTGCAATTAGATAACACATTAACAATTATAATAACATAAGACAACTGCTGCCTAACAATGCTAAAATACATCATAAATGCAACAGCAGTAAAATAACTAAAGATCATTGGGACTATTTGTAAATAGTCCCAATGATCTTTAGTTATTTTCAACAAATATTTCAACAAAATGAACCAACCAATGATAGAAAAAAATATATTCTTGAATCCAATTTTAAAAAATACACGTGATCGATATATGTTTCCGTTACAGGTTACTGATATGACTTTCTGCTGGTCCTGCGTATGACGATAAATTACATCCTGCAGCAAGGCCTCTGATCGGGAGGTTTCGAGGAGCGTGGAAGCACCTCTTAATTGCTGTTGTTCTTAGTTTCACCCTAAACCGGGGTGGCAGTACCAGTTAGGGTCCCAGCAAAGGGCAAATAGTTAACTCCTAAACGAGTCAAAACACTATGAAAGTATAAAAATACATTTTTATCGTGAAAATAAAATAAAAATACATTTTCATAGTAAGAAAAATTACAAGTAATATATTTTTGAAAAAAAATTACCAGCAACAACGAAATTACTAATACTCCCAAGAAAACTAAATTTCGGCATTTGATGACCCATAAGGTGTCGATGTGACGCAAAACAACCAAACATGACTTTCTGCGTTTTGATTTATGAGATTTATTTCAAATAAAAAAAAAATTAACTGTATTTTCAAAAACTGAGCTACTTCAAACAATTTTGATTTTCTTTTCTTTATTTCACTTTTTTACATTCTTGAAGATTCATTCTTGAAGATTTCATTCTTGAAGATTTCATTCTTGAAGATTCATGTGAGCCGAACTTTTGTACATTGCCTTATTTTCGCTTATCTTTTCCATCTGCAGCAGTCAATATTTTTAAGGTAATTCGCAGTTTGGAAAAACAATGGATAAATTCAACAGGCATAGAAGGTCTATCCTTTCAAATATATATATATATATATATATATATATATATATATATATATATATATATATATATATATAAAGAGAGAAGAGAGAAATAAGATAGATATATCAAAGGGCTAGATATAAGCAAGCATATACGCATGTGCTGGTGTGCATACACAATAATCGCCAAATTCATAAATGAGGTGTAAACATAATAGTGCTCGATGTGGTTATACAGAGCAAAGATATATATTAATTATTACATATATGTGTACCTACGTTTTGGTGTGCGACTAAAGTTTCACTAGCTTACCAGCTCGTCGGGCACAAGGTCTATGTATAAACGAGCTGGTAGTCC